CAGTTTGGGAGGTGCTAATTCCCATCCCTGCCGCTTCACACTCGGCTGCAAAACCCTCCATCTGCAAAGAGCAGAGATGAGATTCTGCGGCCACCAAAACAGACACCCTCCGTTACCTGGCTGCGCCTAGAAATTCTGTCCATAAAAATAATGAACAGAATCGGTGACAAAGGGCAGCCTTGGTGTAGTCCAACATACACTCGAAACAGGTCTGACTTACTGCCGGCAATGCGAACCAAGCTCCTACTCTGGTCATAAAGGGAACGAACAGCCTGTAACAATGACCCCACACCCCGTAATCCTGAAGTACCTCCCACAGGATGCCATGAGGGACACAGTCAAGTGCCTTTTCCAGATCCACAAAACACATGTAGACTGGTTGGGCAAACTCCCAGGAACCCTCCAACACCCTAGTGAGGGTATAGAGCTGGTCCAGTGTTCCACGGCTGGGGCAAAAACCACACTGTTCCTCCTGAATCTGAGGTTCGACTATCATAGCTGTATCACTGATATTTAATTAATATGGTTCAGTATAATATGCCAAAAATGCTGTGAAGAGAAGAGCCATCTGTGCTCTTATAGGGCAGTGCTGGCTCAACATGTCATAGACAATAAAAACAACTGACATGCTAGACTCTGTGTCATTTACTATGATGCACTACACAAGATAAAACAATTTATTGTTGTGTCTGACATCATTTGTTGCTTCTGATGCCCGTCGTGTCAGGCTGTTATCGGGCGTAAATCGTGTATTCCTGGGGATTAGCCACCGTCTTTTTAAGACACGTAAAAGCATTAAAAGTCATGAGTGGGGTATTTACTGATGTACTTCATAGAACCAAATGTGAACATGTATAGGCCTTGTAACCACAGACCTTACTTCAGACATCTAACCAAAAACCCATTCAAAAGATCCATTAACTTCAGGGCAAGGGAATTGGAAGCACAGAAATGCTAACTCAGTTCTGGGTTTTAGGACTCACTACTACAGTACTCTATAATACCTAAACATTTTAACTTACTTAAGGCTCGACCATGATCAAGACAGTGAAGAAAATAAAGATGTATGCGTGCTTGACTTACTCGGAGGTAGTTAAGGGTGGAGTTCGACAGGCCACATCTTGTTATGTTTTTAGACAGCTGGTCCAGCATCTGTGGGTCCTGGGCCTGGGACATCAATAGAAGACAGATTTAAAGAAAATTTGCACACACACACGCACATGTGCACACACCATGCATCATGCGTGTCCACGTGGATTCACTCACATGCATGGCCAGTATGCTGCGGGGGATGAGTTCACGATGTTGCCTGATGCTGAAGTGCCACGTCTTTATCCTCATCATGTCATCAAACATGAACTCCAGGTACAAGCGCCCCTCTACACACACCTGCAGAGGTTCAGATGACTGAGGTCAGCATACAGCAGGTGAGCACTGAAAGCTATGCAGAGAACAGGACAAGCTGCAGCTCTGCACACATTAAGGGCAAATGTTGGAACTCACTTGTGATTATCGTACTGGGATACAACAACAGTAGAGGTTTTTCATGTTAGGGGAAAAAAAAGAATCATTTAAATTAAACTTTGACTTTATGATCTCTTTTGCACTCATTTTATTTCAAACTAAAGACTGAGAAAAATGGAGAATATTAACATTGTTTTAAATAAAATTAGACCTTTTTCTACCTTTTCAGTTAGCTAATAGTGAATCTGAATACATTTTCAAAAATGTGTAAAGATTTTAGTGTTATAAAGTTGGTTATGTTTTCAAATCAAAATCTAAAAAGGTAGGGATGAAATTTTACAGCAAATTATATGGTTTAATTCCAATGATGAAATCAATTGGAAATTTCATTTTGAGAAAATGTGTGTAGTTTTGTTTGTAAACAATACTGTAAATAATAATGGACAACATACAAGATATGTCGAAACATATAGTGTTATCCTCTCTCCTCATTTATATAATCTACTGATCCCTGCTTTGAAGACAGAAAGGAAAACAAAAATTAAGTGGTTTGATGAAGTTGCTAGTGTGTCAACCTGATACCGAAAAGGTAAAATAGTTGAAAGGACAAAAGCTAAAGACATTTATGATCTCTATTTATCCTTTAAAGCCCTGTAAGAGATTTTTTCTCAATCATATTGGGTGATATTACTGAGAAATGCTGTTTTATTACTAAAATTAATATATTGTTGGTGAAATTGTATATTTTAAGGCAGAAGAGGTGGAATCTTTAAATACTAATCTGTTTAGTTCCTGGCTTAAATGGTATTTCACTTTGGAAGGGGTTATTGTAAAGAAAATGACACTAAAAGTTAATATAAGAGGTAGGAAAAATTTACTGTAGTTGGAAGTTGGTAGATGGTGCACTTTTGTTATAGATGGGGAAAAAAGTTTTTTCCAGTTTAATACTCTGGGATGTTATTACAATGGGAACAAGAAGATAAATTAGTGGCATGCTTTTTTGTCTGTTTTTGTTTGGGAGATGTGTTTATATGGATGTAATGCTGTTTTTTCTTTTGTCTAAATAAATTTAGATTAAAGATTTTGTTTTGCTGCTTTGTTCTTGTGAGAATATGAATACTGTATGTCCCAGGGCTAAAACCTCTAACAGAAAAACAAACCATGTTGCAGCCTCTAAATGTCTGAGAACCCGCTGTACATTTCTTCACTATAGACTGCGTTCTATCCATCTGCAGTTTGCAATGGATGTTTATTTGATGCCATCCGAGTAATACAGGGAGGTTTTATAGTCCATATTATTACATCAGTAATGCATATTGCATTCTACTGTGTCAAGAAAGGCTGTAATTTGTAGCGTTGTCATATTAGAATGCATTATCCTGTAAAGTGGGCCTGTTACATAGTCACTCCCTGTGCATACACAAACACAGACCTGTGTGAACATGGGCTTTCCATTTTGGGTGACCATGGTGCACTGATCACAGTCGAGGGAGACAAAGTTATTGTGAAAGGACTCCTTGGGATGTTTCAGCACATAGTAGAGTTCAGTGGCACCGCCCTCAAATATACTCCGGAAGTACCGTGGAATCAACGTCCGGCCAATCGCTGGTGAGGAGGGAGAAAAACGACGAGTGTGAGAACAGTAAGGTACAGTGTTGGCTGTAGGGCAGTACAATATATCCCTGGGGGGTATTGCACAAAACCAAGATAAGGGATTAAGCTGGGATTTTCCAGAGACAACATGTGACTTTGTTTCTTACTGTAACGTTTGGGCCCATCCTCCAGACAGAAAGTAATGGTCAACATGGCATCATCTTCAAAGAACTCTGTAGTAAATGCATCCCACCATAGGTTATCACACTCCTACAGTAGAAAAGGAGAGGAGAGGAGGAGAAGTGCATACAGTATGACCTGTGTGTGTTTATGAACCTCTGTCCAGTTCTGTAGCCGTTTGTTGAGTTCAAATATTCTGTAGTCTGTCTGGTTGCCATAAGGTGTGTGTCTCCTGGACGACCACAGAAAGACAAGAGGAGAAGAAAACCCAGGCAGCACATTTAGCAAGTGGTAATATTAGGGCTGGGTGACAGAAAACATTTCCCCCCCATATTGATCAATAGATAATTATCAATATATAAATAATTATCAGCACATTCAACATGTTAATTAGACCTCAAGGATTTCACATTGTACTACAGTGTGTACAATTTAATTTAATATTAAAAAAGAGAAGGAAACTTGAACTGCAACGAGTTTAATCATTTTAGGATTGGATTCTACATAAAACACAAGGTTTGTTATAGTTCAAACAACATTTACTTTAGAATCAATAATTTGATACTCTGCACAACCAACATGGTATCAGATTTATGCTTGTTAGGCTGATGAAAGGCTCTGCTGTGGGACTACACTGCATGTCAGTAGAGATGAAAGTACGTAAAGCTGCTCTTGCACTTCTCCCCTGCACTCTCTATTAAGCTGAGCCAGTAATCTCACCGGTGTCATGTCCTTCACCATAAAATATGAGACCACGGTCACCATGTCTCTGCTTCTTTTTGAGCACTCATCATACTGGTTAATGACTGAAAAGGTCAACAAGAGCAACTGCTGCTGGAGTCACCGCACAAGGCCTTTTTTGGCTTATAGTGCTGCAGATTGGGAGCACAGACTCTGGGGCTACCTGGATGGTAACATTACCTTTTCACATGGTGGGAAAGGTTTCTTCTGTTTTCTGTCTTTCATCCGCACAGCTGACCTGCAGATTTTACAATGGATATTGCTATTCTCCTTGTCCAGCTTTACAAGTCTGAACTATTTCTAAATTACAGAAGTTGAGTTGCCTACATATATAGATCTTTTTGCAGTGTTTGGATGGCTCTTGGCTCTCATTTCAGTACTTTTTTGTTTTGTACTCTATAATGCCTTTATCTATATTGTGTGAATGTCTTTATACTTCTGTCTCTGTCTCATTTGTATATACTGCTAATTTGCTCCTTGGCATTATTAGCTCTCATTGCCATAATTCTGTCATTGCATGCAGCTACCTCTCTCTCCTTGAAGTTGCTCAATTGTTTTCCTTGTTAAAATCTTTTTTTTTTTAAGATTGTGCACATCTTTTGTCCGTTTTTTACCATCAGCTGCTGTTGGTGCAGCACCTGCAAAAGATTTTTGGATGTGCGTGGACTGTTTTGTTTCCCTGTTTTGGCCCTACACGTCAGATATGTAATCCAACAGCTGTAGCCGAACACGTTGATTGTGTAGAGGATTGACCCAAATGCAGAACAGACACATTTATTGAAAATTATTCACCAGTTTCTCAACATTAGCAAATTATTTTTGCCACCTAACCCAAAGTAATGACAGCAAGTAAAAAAAAACAAAACATCTTGATAACAGAAATGTTCACAACACAACTTCCCATGCCCTTATCTATACTTGTGTGATTAGTTCCATTTACATAACAGCTGGTGATAATGGAAAATAAAGCAGTCTTACCCTATTCCTGGCTCCAGGTATGTGGGAGGATACATTGGGGTGGGACTGGAGAAACAAGAGACAGAGAGGTTATTACATTCAGCTGCAGTGCTAATATGCCCTCATCCAGTAGCTAGTCTGTCTTAACAACCTGGGACAAGAGCCAAGCATGGCACAAATTGGATGATACAAGGACACAGTAAATAACAGCACTTCTCAAATGCACATACACAAACTGTAGCCGACTCATTCAGTGCAAAAAGATTAGCTGTGAAATACGGCGCACAATTCTATGCTGGTACAACCTCTAACCTCAGCAAGACACACAACTGAAATCGATTCAGAGTTAGCATTAAACATTAGCCTCACACAGCCAGGCAACAATTATCATTTCAGTCATTGTAATTCAACAGGTGTTTGCCTGAGTAACAGGCTGTGTTGATGTTAGCAGACCAACATTACACTAATCTACACAGACAATGGGACCAGCCTTTCAACAGGTGTCAGAAGACTGACAGGTGACCGTACTACACTCAAAATGACTGTGCTGTTCTAAACAAGTATTGTTCCAGCATGTGTTGCATAGTTTATGCTATAGCTTCCTAGAATGTTTTATGTTTACCAGCGATTCTGTGAAGTGACATTTTATCATTGCAGTGGGGCATGATAACTAAACCAGTACTACCTTGGATGTACCTGGATTTTACCTCAGGTTTCTAACTGGTATAATATTTTGCGTTTCTAGAAAAAAAAAAATCTAATTTTATTCAAACTATCCACTGAAACCAATTTCTTGGTAAACCTGATATGAGAAACAGGCTATGTGGCATCAGAAAAATAAGGCACATCTAAACATTTTAAGTATTTACTCAGGGCGCTGTGGACCTCCTGAGCAAATACAACCAGGCAGGCTGTGTGAAATTCAAATCCAAAATACATAGCTGCTCAATGACTCTCTCCCCCAAACCACTTCCTTTTTGATTGGTCAGCCTATCAGCTGCCAAGCTGAGTCGAACATCAGTGGGCGTTTTCCAGTTGAAAATCTTGTTTCGGAAAAACAAGTCATGATATTCAAGCTGTCCTTTCCAAGCTATAGAATGTGTATTCAATAATACAAGCACATGTAGAGAATGTTTAAAGACTGCATTCTGAGCAGACTCCAAAATACATAGAAGACTTGGACATAAAACATACCCCACATCTCTGTCCAGCATGGTGCCAGGGTGGAAAGGGGGGAAAGTGCTACCGTTGGGGGGCTCCTTTGGGGAGTACAGCTTGAATGACTTTGAGGAACAGCCTGGTAAAGAAGAAGAAAATATTAGGACATAAATGTAAGCTTTTGGTCCTTGATTCAGAGGTTACTTAAAAGGGGTTTTATTAAGTCTTTCAGACAACAGCCGACAAAACGATTCTTGACTGAGGTTACAGTCCAACTTGCATTAGTGTTGCATCAATCCACAAATGTTATAATGTAATGTTAGCCCAACAGTAGATAAATACCTAAACTATGAGACAAAAACACACCAATCTTGTTGCATGAACACACAACACAAGGAGGGAGTCACAGGTAAACAATGCACTACTGCTACACTCTTACAGAAACCACTGCCCTCTATAACTATCAAATACCAACAGATACTAAATACTGACTCCACTCACACACACAGAAAAGACAAAAAAAACTGATAAATCTCTCTCTCTCACCCACCCACCCACACACACACACCCCCCCAGCCCCCACTCCACTTTAATTGCCCAGCCCTCCTATAAAGGGCATTGAGGCGGGGCAGCCTCGAGGTCACAACCCCTGTCGTCACCATGGTGAAGCCCCGCCTCACTAGTATTGCTGTTTCTTATCCCTGCATATTAAACATATCTCTGCCAATGTCTGTTTGTGTGAAAGATAAATGTACATCTAGACAAACAGAAGAAACAAAACCTTAAACTATATACTTTTAACATGGCAAAATTGTCACTTGAGATCATTGTTGTGGTGTGAAATTTAAGGTACACATCTAAACAATTACACTTTGCTGATATCTGCATGTTTGTGTTGTTGCAGACACAATGACTGACCATTTAGGGTGCAACCATACATAAAGTTGATGTTCCCAAGTCACCCATCTATGTTGGTATCCATTTAAAGCTAATCTCCTCTTCAGTAACAGCTGTTACATCCCTACTGGTTTCTACTGCATGTATAACAGTGGCCGGATAACATACCGTTGCTCTTAAGGGACCAGAGGTAAATAAATAAACAAGAAGAGACTTCCATGTAGAGGAGCATAGATCTTAAAAACAAGATTTACATCTTTTAAATAAAAAAAAAAAAGCCATAAAACCTCTATCCGCTTGAAACCCCCATGTTCATCCATCTGCTTATCCCGAAGAGGTTCACGGGGGGGTACACCCTGGACAGGTTGTCAGTCTATCACAAGGCTGACACTAAGAGACAACACACACCCACACTCACTCCTACAGGCAATTTAGAGTCACCAGTCAACCTAAGCTGCATGTCTGAGGGAGGAAACTGGAGCACCCTGAGAGAACCCATGCACGCATGGGGAAAACATGCAAACTCTGTACAGAAAGGCACCGGGTCAGCCAGGACTCAAACCCAGACCCTCACCAGCTGAGGTAACAATACTAACTACTGCCCCACCATGTCACCCCCCCTGTGTTCACTTTGTGTAAAAACAAGTTGTTTACTATGTGAGCCAGCAGCAACACTGGATGCACCACCAGAGGAAAACAAATGGGGTTGATAAATGAATAAATAATCAATGCTTATGTGTCCATTAGTTGTTGAGAGCTCCTCCATTAGCTCCTCTCCTCTTCTGTTAGCGGTTAATGACAGGCAGTCACAATCACATCAGCTGGACTCCACTTCCTCTACTGGGAATCATATCATGATCCTCTCTCTTCCAGACAAACACAGTACACTATATATAAAGAGCTTATGGACACACTCATTATACATGTCCATATCCTCTTGGCTTGAAAGAATGCTAGCCAATCCTCACGAGGAAGTGCTATTTCAAATGTCGAATGACAGGGATGCAGAAAAACACAGGATTTAACAGGAACTCCCGACACGAAAATCCATTCAGCAGTACCAGGTCTTGTCAAACAATAACCTGTCGTGGTTTTGGACTCCTGCTACTCCAGACTGCGACCATACAAGTGTCCATACGGAATATAGCCATTAACCCGCTTTAGCAAAGTTTAGACAAAACAAACATGGACCTGACGTTTTGTTTAACTCGGCCGAACTCAAAATTTATTTTGTCAACATCTGCGTAGGTCATAACTTTAACAGTCAATGCACATTTGGCGTGGAGTTGTCTGCTTTCAAAGACAACTAGAAAGGCTGCCAGCGCATAATGCTAACACTAGCCTTGAGCTAGCTTAGGCTAAAACACAGTTTCGGGATGCGAGTGAAATTAGCCAACCTACATAATACCAACCACAACTAATTTTAACAAGCAAAACAGTCACCCAAACAAAACTAAACACAGTCAATAACCTCACCATCTTCAACCACTAAATCGCTGAATGTACATAACGGTGCCTTGTCGGCCTACAGGGCAAGCCAGAAAACAGTAGGTAATCGGTTAGCTAGCTGCTGTTAGCCGTCTTGCTAACGCCTTAGCGTTAAATCCCTTTTTAAACGAGAAAGCACCGGAATAAGACGGAAAATCACACCCACGGCAGCTCGTAAACCAATTTAATCGCTACATCATCTAGGAATTACGGTAAAAGTGACAGTTTGGGAAAAGCCACCCTTTACCTGCACAGAAGTCCAATCAGAAAATTGCTGTTTACAGATCCGTGATGATAGACCGTGTGTACGCTCCGTGCGTAAAAACGGATAGGCCCTCTAGACGGCGGTTGGCTGGACGCAACGTAACAATACAATACGTCCCTCTGAACAGGATCAATAAAAATCTCCTAAAACCGCGAGAATGAAACAGAATAAGGCCTAAATTGCGGGATTCGTTCGGTTATGTTTTGTCCCGCATGAGGCCTTGTCAGTGGGCTGAAGCCTGCTGTGGGTTTACATACGGACCCCGATGAGCCCTTTGTTCACAGGAGGACATGAACAATAGCTGTAGGCCCTCCTCCTCCTGCTCTCCCTCTGCAACACATTTGCTCCTCTGCCCAGCACCGCCAGCCGCTCTCTCCCCTTCTTCTTCTCCTCCTCCTCCCCCCACTAATGCACAACTGCACATAAAGGTCGTCTGGTAAGCATTTTTTTTTCTTCCTTCCTCCTCCCTGCATCCCATCCCTACCTTGTAACTGACACAGATGAGAATTGGTCTAATGCAGCCGAGTGAAAGTGTGTGGAAGCAAAGATCATGCTGACTGCAAAGTGGTTTTCATGTCTGCCTAATGAGTGCACATCAGCTTGCTGCAAACAACTGAACTGTGGCAGTCAAAGCCAAGATCCTGGTGTGGTCCCTGCAGTGTGTTGGATGCAAAGCTGATATGCAGCAGCCTGATCAGTCAAAAGTGGATTAAGATCCCATAAATGAATGTGCATGTAAAGACTGGGATTGTTTACAAGTAATTGTGTCTTTGACTTTGTAAACTGAACTGTCTCCAAAGTAGGCCAGTAAAATCCATTACCACTGGGAGTTTCTCTCTCTCTCTCTCTAATTTATATATACACACAGGAAGCACTATATTTTGGTGGAAAATACCACAGTCCTCTAAGTCTGCTTAAATCACCTCAAATTATAATCTGATACATCAAGGGCTCACCCAAACAGCCAAAGTTGGAATATAAAAAGGACACATAGATGAGGAGTTTTTCATGTTTGTATGCAAGTGTATGTCAAAATATTGGGTAGTCTCATAAAGAGTATTCACCTTAAAGGGAAAAAATGGCTGTGATTTCTAGTGTTTTAGACAGTTGATCTTATATCAAGGTTGAAACCTTTCCTTTCAAACACTGATTCATACACTGTCAGTGTACACAGAGAGTGAAAATAGTGTTTCATAAATGATTTTACTCATAAATTAAGCTGCTCTTTTGAGCTGCTCTGTGGAAACAGTTAACAGGCTGCTCTACATCGGAACACATTTATTATTAGAAATGTATTCTTAGTTATTATTATGGAGAATCATGACTTGGGACAACTTTTTTAAAGGTATATTATAAATGTGGAGCTGTAAATTCATTCATTTCAAGCATCAGTTCCACAGGGAATTTGGATGTTACAAGCATGATAGATTTTGAAACATATCTTTTTTCAAAATTGCACAAGTAGAATTTAGAATTGCTTACACTGAATCAGTTCAGCAATTTTAAAGAAAAGAAAACATCATATTAAAAAGAAAAACTGCAATATTCACAATTGTAGAAAAAACATACAAAGAAAATAATTAAAATAATAATAATCCCATGTATTAAAGTAAACATTTCAGTTATTTTAAAAGTTAAAACCATCAGTGGAATAATTTATTGTTCTGATTATATTGTGCCTATGTCCACAACATATTCCTCTACACTATTTAACTGTGGGCCTTGTAATCAAACCATTTCATTGTTTAGCTATTTAGACAGTCTGAGACAGTGAAGCCAGGTGTTATGATCATTCACTGTATATTTACTTTCCAGCTATGTCTACTGTACGTTTCTGCTGCTTTATAAGAGAAGATATCTTGTTCTGAATATCTGCACACCTTTTCTTTGAGAATATGCAGTCTTCACACACAAGTTAAAGTTCTCTTACATCTGCAAACGGCTCAATTGCGGACCTCTTTGCATTCTCTGATAGTAACAGTGTGTTGATGTGCAGTCTCACCCAGAACCAGACATGTAGAGAGGATAAGCTGCTCTAAGGCCTGTGTCTCACCCGACCAGCAACAAAGATGCTTGATCTGAGTGTATGTACAATGGTTGGACCATGGTAAGTCTGTGACATGAGCACTTCAGAGCTCACGGGGCTCCTGTCAGTCTTTTGGCAGCATCTTTGCATGTCTAGTACCAGGGGGAGGTGTAGTCAGTAGTAGCTTAGAGTGTCTGTTGAGGGTGACTTATGTGGATTTGCCTATCTTACTCTCGCTGGCCCCTGTAGCCATGGCAACATGAGCAGTCAATGCTGCCACAACCGCAGAGAGACTAAGAATCATCCATAGAAATGGACACACAAGGGTTAATCCTGTGTATGTGTGTGTGTCTCCAAAGCTCACCCATTGAAATGGTACATGGCGGGGTTAATCCTCAGTGCATGTGTGCGTGTATGTGTGTAGCAGGGTGATGAAGAGGAAGTGGGGGTGGGAGGTGTCTCAGGATAAGGCTTGAAGAGCTTACACACACCATCTCTTTCGCTCTCAGGCATAGATTGGGCCTTATCTTCAACCAGCACCCTAACCAGCGACTTTCTCACACACACACATACACAAACACTTGTTTTCATTCCTCATAGGGACTTTACACAGACTTTGGTTATTTCCTGGAGATTTACCCTAACCATAACCGCTACTTGCCTAGCTGTAACCCTTCGCCTAACCTTACAACATGTCATGGTAAAATTCAGTAATTTACACTGTGAGGACCAGCATCTGGTCCCACAAAGAAGGCCAAGTCCTCATAATGTGAATATGTAAACAGGCTTTGGTCCCCACAGTGTGTGTAATACCAGGCACCTCACACACACACACACACACACACACACACACACACACACACACACACACACACACACACACACACACACACACACACACACACACACACACACACACATACACCGTTACCTTCACTTCAGCAGCTTGCCTCATCTCCCCACTCAGTCACACATTCACACCTGAAGCTATAAATCCATGTATATATAATAAGTGATTAAAGCTGGAGTGTGCAGTGGCTGAATAAACTCCCTAAAGTGCACAGTGTGATGTTTTCACTAAGCTTACACTTAAACCTACAAGTGCAACTTGTTAATTCACCTCTGTCAAAGTCAAATAAAATAGAGAAGGGCCGAAGTACAGCATTTCTCTTGAAATCAGCAATTCAAGACACACACACGTACACACACAATACAATCAGACATTTTTCAGCTGTTTTGTTTTGTTAGGCCTTAGGGACTTTGTTGCTGAGTCAGCAAAAAGAGAGAGTAAAAGCAAAAAACGTCAGGACTCTTACCTCCTTCAGTTTCTAGCTGATCTGATGTCGCCATTTTGTCACCTACAAATGCAGTTTCACAGCGAAACACCGATCCAACTCTCAAACTGGCTCTCTGTTTTCACGCCTCTCCTTTTCTCTGATATCTCCCATTTCCAGATTGTCAGGCTCGGGGGCATTGGGGGAGGGGGGGCTATGTCACAGTGTGTGTGCTCTCATGCACATGTGCAAATGTGTGGGGCATGCCACTTCCACCGGCTAGTCAACAGGAAACTGAGTGGCACATACATCTGCCAGAGTTCTGATAACAACCGACCCAGCCGCCCTCCCTGCAACACTGATCTGAAGACAGACCCGTGTTGGTACGAGTGCAGAAAAAGCCCAGACTAAACTGATCCCAGCTCATAAATGAGACCTGACGTCTGATGAGAGTGACATCAGTTGATTTGTTTTTTTTTTCTCCATCTTTCTTCCCAAACAGAAAAACTAAACCACTCCTGTTTTATAGATCGCATTCACTACATTTCCTCCCCCAAGAGAATCCCAGTGCTACTGTTTCATAGCTTTTACCACTTCATAATATAGAAGTCAGACATACTGTAAACACATCAATAGGACAGCTAGGCCCAGTCCTTTATATGGAAGCTACTGTAGCTACATCTCCTGTGGCTCTTTTCAGTGTCACTGTCTGGCAACTCTGATATATTTGGCAGCTAAGTCTTCTTGACTCTGTTATTAGATCTGATGGGCAGACAGAGGTCCAGCTGTCTGATTCAGCTCTGATGAAAGATCCGGAAGATAAGCTGCCACTTTCTGGTGGAATGAGCACTAACAGAGAACTGGCCAGTGTCTGTGAGCCTGAATCACTGACACATAACTGCAGGAGTGCTTTACCTTACTCAAGTATTTTCATTTTTGCCTTGTATTCCACTATATCTGTCTGACAGCTACAGTTACTTCACTGATTCAGAACATATAAAACATATATCGATTTAAATATGACTAAAGTGTAGTGCCGTTACAAAATGACCATTCTAACATTATATAAAGTAATAAAAAATAGAGCTTCCCTAACCACATTTGTTGATGATAGGTTGGGGAAATATTGCAAAGCTGCCCTGCAGAGCCAAGCTGCAGGATCTACATATATATATAATTAGACTAGATCAGATCTGACTTGTTGACATCTGTGTTAAAATAAAACATCTTTGTTTTACTCCACAGAAATATATACTTCAAACCAAACAGTCAGCCCAGGTAAAGCAAACAGATGAGAAAGCCATAGCTAGCGACATTTACTTTAACCTTGGGATGTTTCCTGTATTTGATATATACAGATTTATCCAATATAAATAACAGTGTGGTCAGTCTATTTGTTAGCCCACATGAAAGCAGCTATGAGGTTGTGGATAATAAAAACAGTTAAACTGAATGTTATTATCTCCACAGTCATGCCACGTGTGCAACATTCATCAAGATTTTTAATATCAGACATGAATTTTGCTTGATTTTACAACTGTCATCTGGCGTTTACAGTGCTAACAAGTTAAACACAGTACATGATATCATTACACATTTTCAGTTAACCCAACAGTTAATAATACAGATTTTTATACTTCCATCCAAGTTATATCTCCCAAACCCACCATATACAATGCAATATGCTGTAGTAATGTTTAAGCACAATAAGCTTGTTTTAAAATGTTGTTGTAATGTTGTTATGAAACATTTTGTATTGAGTAAGATAACGGCAAACCAATGCCTGGCTTTTATAATATAGGAGAATCTGTAACTGAATGTCTGCAGGTGACGACAGCCTCTAACTACGGTAACACTTTTGCCTGGTTTGTTTGATTTCATTTAGCATTTCTTATCAAATTGAACGTTAGAATTTAAAGTTGTGCCTAAATACTCATAGATATGGCTGCTTTGGTGCAAGATCTTTTTTTTTTTTATAAGATTTTTGCACTAATGTGATGAAGTACATTGATTTTTCAGGTATGTAATTCTCTGTATTTGTCAAACACATACCTTCCCATGGGGTTATTTTATCCATAAATGTTTTCTCAATTTATTTTCTCAGAAAATGTACTATTACCATACACAATACAATGTCACTATTAAGGTTTTTAAACTATATATGGCTACTGTATATCATAATAAGTTCACATCACCTAATCCTAGTTATAAAAAAACTATTAGTACTTTTATTCTTTTAACTCCATTTGTTTCCTGCCACATGTGAAGACGTTTCATTTGTAATGGAGTATTTCGGCATTGCCATACTGCTCCTTTGACTCCAGGATCTACATATTTCTTCCAACACTACTTAATTGTCAGACAGAAAATTGTTATCGATGCAGCTCCTTTGCAAGAGAAAGTAAAACCACAACTACTTTACATAAAAGAACAATAATCAGAGCTGTTATGTGAGTGTGCATTACAAATGGTACTTTTATTATTCTGCAGAAAGTGTGAGGAGAAGCCATCATTTTCCATTTGATTTACAGTCAAGACATCACCATGCATCATCACAGGTGGGAGGAACGCTGGACCTGAACTAAAGTCAGAGGCTGTCCTGTGATAGCAGCCCCCTCTAGTGGCTGCGCTGAGCCACTGTCTTTGTTTTCATGCTGCCCTACACTATGCTCTCACTCGCTGGGTGAATTCCCTACTCAGGATTTTCTCTGGCAGGCAAACACAGACACACTGCAACAAGGGAACTTCAGCAGCCAGTGCGTCACATGTTATAACAGGCCAATGGGTGAAGGGATTAAATTATAAAAAGGCTCTGCAGTAAGCCAGTCTGTCATTAACATATAGTATGTGTGTGTGTGTGTGTGTGTATTTCATAAAGAGTTTAGCAAAAACATACATGCACATGTTATAGAAACGTAATGATCAGCATCATTAACCATCATCATTAGTTTTTTCTTTTTTCTTTTAATGCTGGCACTTTGCAGGTGGCTTAGCCTTTAAGGATATGTGTGTGTCAGATGAGTGAGTGTGCGCGTGGCAGCGGCTGGTGTCAGCTGACAGCTGTGTGAGGGGAGATGACAGTGCCCTGATGCTGCGTTCTCTGTTCTCTGGGAGCCATTTTGTCTGTCTCTAATCTCAGAGTCAGGTCCCCCCCCCAACCCCCAGCCAATCACGTCACTGCTCAGCCTTGCAGAAAACATAGACACACAGTCTGATCTCTCTCACTCTCTGTCTCACCCTCCCTCCCACTTACAGTGCTCATCTCTTCCTCTGTGTTCTCAGTTCCTCTGTTCTCTGTCTTTTCCCCCTCCGTCACCTCTTGTCTCTCCTGTTTTCTCTTCCTTGTCACCCTCCCTCCTCCTTTTCCTCTCTTAATCCACATCTTTCCTCGGTATCTGCTCACTCCCTCTCGCTTCTCCTCCATCACACCCTCCTCCTCCTCTTCTGTCTCTCTTGTTGTGCAACCGGGTTCCAAACAGCTCAGCCTTTGTGCATTCTTGTTTGTTGCCATTTCAGCCAGGGCTGCAGTCTTTACTCATTTTCCTCCAATCAGGGACACCATGTGACTCTCTGCATGAGATGGTACAGACCCTTCCCCCTTCTCTCCTCCCTCTCTCCTTAACCCCCCCCCAAAAAAAAGCCAGCCAGGCAACATAAGCTAGCAATCAGGGGGAGTCAAAGAGAAAGAAGGGCTGAGGGGAGGGGAAAGGGAAGAGAAGGAAATGTACACACAGTGCAGAGTGATACAATATGCAGGGGGAGATAGGATAGAGGTGAGGGAGCAGGGGGGCGAGATAACACTGGGGGCAGCGGAGGGGGGTGTAATGTGAGGTCTGAGTAGGTCAATGCTGCAATCTGTTTGACCACAAAACACAAACATCTGCTTCAGACAGCATACTGAATAGTAACTTCTTTTAGTGACAGTATCGCATCTTGGAGCACATCCCCACTGTTTATGTCATCCACATGTTGGGGCACATGCTGTGTGTGTGTGTAGGTCCACACACTAGAGTGCAAACCCTGAGCCCACACAAGAAGGGGGAGGATCCTTCTGTGTTGAACACGGCTCTGGAATGTAAACAAGAGAGAACGAGAGAAAGACAAACGAACGACTACAGAAAGACTTAAGTTTCAGATTTTATCTTGTATCATATAGTCTGTTAGAGCAGCATCTCTCAACCCTCTCTGGCTCATTTAAATGTGCAAAGAGGCTGAAAAGTTGGCAGTAAGTGAGCAAATTAACCAGCATCACTGTAAGGTCAGGCTTTGGGGTCATTAGAAGTTGATATGAGTGAATGGAAGTTCTGAGGCAATATGTGATTTTAGTTGCTTCACGTTGTGTGTTTGCATCATACATTGGTTGATGACTCCAAGGTTGCATTAAAAAAAGTCAGTGATTTAATTCCTCATATCCCAGTTAAACTTTGCTTGTGTTGGCTTTTTAAAGGGTTAGGATGTTCACACTAAAGCCAGTGGCTGAATTTTCATGGCACAAAATAAGATGGGAAAGGCAGCTCTATTCTCTCTTTTCTGTAACCTGAAAACAAATGAGGAGAAAATCCATAAAACCGAGAAAGCGAGAGAGAACAATATGAAAGCAGAAGTGGAGTGCACAGGAGTGTGGTCATACGTCTTTTCGGAAATTTCCATGACCACACTGATTAAGTATTCAATCTGACCGCAAGATAGTTAAGGCCCGGTTTTAAACAAATGCTCCCACCTCTGCTGTGCAGGCTTGTTTAACGGCTGAGGTGGCAGCATTCGCTTCCATAGCACAGGGCGCTGCACAGAGATTGAAAACGGACACGCAACTCTTGTGTGCATACAGGCACACTTAACACACCACGTTTCCCTGTGCCATTGTGTGCTCCAGACAAATTGTATGTGTTCACAGAACTATAACACACACACACACGTCAACTGGTGTGTCTAGACATTGTCCTTGCTGATACTGAATCTGTCTGGTTTTATCACAGTGCCGATATAGTTTTCTTTTTTCCCACATTTCCAGATTCTCCTGACTCTCTATCTCTTCATCACTGATTCGTCTGTCTACAAGGTCAAGATAGTCTGATAATTTGCTCCTCCTAAACTTTCCGCCTTTAAAAAAATCTGCCAACTAAAGAGTTTCCAAACCGCAAAACATGGGACCAGTTAGTGTTTCCATCTTTGTAATGAGTAAGGTCGAGACTGGCACCAGGGAAATCTGATCCTGGATGCGTGGTTGGCTAAATTTCTCTGTCCACTTCCTGGCTATTTGAGGGCTGACCACGCTGGCCACTGTGGCCTGGTAGGCAGTAGACAGAAGATGGGGCTATGTCAGGGTGATACAGGACGCTGCTCTTCTGTTGCTGAATATTCTGTGGTTGTAGATTCTGAGCACATCTGTCATGATTGTGAATAGATTTTCAACTATAAGGTTTTAACTCATGTCTTACACATCCTATCCAGAGTGCAACATAAATCGCTGGAAAATCTAATATATTGCCTGAGGCTCAGCAGCGGCGGGTTTATTTCTAGGCCTTTAGTCCTCTTTTTCTTTCCTCTGCTGTCTGATTAAAGTCAGTAAAATGAGAAGAATTATCTGTTATTCTGCTTGCTGCCAGGCACTCAACACTCAAACACAACTGGCTGTGGACTGCGGGGAGTTCCTCAGCTTTCACAGATGGTGAACAAGTCACACACCTCTCAATACGGTAGTCTAATATGTGGGATATTACTCCCTCTGGGTCGCTCTCTATGGATCAGCTCCCAGAAGCTCCACAGCTGTTACTCAACTTTAACCAATTTTATTAAAAATGGTGACAAGCGAAACTCAGACTGTAAAGTTGGTTTGTCATCATGTTGTTGATTTGCTTTCAGGTTTGGATTGAAATGAAACCAGGCTGCCTGTCTGATGCCTCTTCCTCCTCCTAAAAACAGCAACAGGGCTTACAAGGAGAAGTAGCCTAGGCAAGGTCAGTACTGTATATCTCTGCCCTTTTGACTCTCACTGAGCTCCTTCTATGAACTCAAGAGGAAAGTACCTCTGTATGTAAAACTCCATAACAAGCCCATTATAAATCTGTGTCATGCTTAAAGAAGAACAGTGAGATTACATCTTTCTGGGACCCTAACATTCATGTACTACTGATGCAGAATTTTTTCTAAGTAACAAAAACTCCTTTAACACCTAAATAAGACAAATAAATCTGTGTCATCACTGTCACGTTCTTTAGTAATATTCTCCCGTGTGAGCTGTGAAACATCGAACATCCATTAATAACTCCTGTGTGCGAAGAAGTGCAGAATCAATCATTGCAAGCCTTTGATCCGAGCCAATGATCCCTGCCCTTTAAATGTCACACTTTGATCCTTCTTTTTCTTTTCTACTATCTTTGTGGTTTTGAACTGGATTTCCCCTGTGGAGAAGACCTTAAAAGAACTCAACCTGGGCCGCATGTCAGAAACAAGCGGTAGCGGCAGCGGCAGCGGAGCAACGAGAACAATAACAAACTGGAGGAAGATAAGGGACAAGTAACATTAGTGGTGCCATAGCAACAACTTCAAGCCCAGATGTCTGCACCATCACCAAAGATCTTTTTCTTTCCAAACTAAGCAGCAAACAGTAAAAATCCTTTTGTTGTCAGACTGAAGACAGACTACATGTTGATCCATCATTTCTGGTATTTTCTTTGCTCTCAACCATCACAGAGGGTGACCTCCCATGAGCCTTTGCAAACAGAACCAGAGGGCCCCAGGGCACCTCTCTCCTAGTCCCTCTCTCTGCCCCAGTCACACCACAGCAGTAGCAGCACTTACCAACCAAAATATCAAAACAACAACATCTACAGTGACCAGAAAAAGTCAGTGGCTGAAAACAGCAGCAGCAGAGGAGCTGTCGTCAACAGCAACTGTCACCACGGCAGCTACTTACCGGGACACGCGCAGCCGCCCACGGACATCTTCTCACATGTCTGGTGTGACTCCGATCAGAATGACGGTGGTGGTGGCTCTGTTATCCCTGCTCTCGTCCTCTCCTCTCCTCTCTCCTCTTTCTCACCAGTCACTGCTGCCGCCACTGAGGCTGCTCACATGAGCGTCTGTTATCCCCACAGTTCACACACACAAACACCACCAGGGAGCAGAGAGAGAGAGAGAGACTGGGAGATAGAGAGGGAGGGGGTGAGAGAGTGACGATTAGGGAGGAAAATAGAGAGCAAGAGGTTTAAAAAAAGAGCACACACAAAGGATGGGATTCTCTCAGTTGTAGCTGTACACTGTGAATCGCACAGTGTCTATGTATGTGTGAGTGTGTGCATAAGAGTGTGTGTGTTATAGAGTGAGGAGAATTCTGTTCCTGCCTCTGCTCTGCCCTCACCCTCATCAGCCCTGCAAATTACAGCTCAGGTGGGAGGAGAGAGGGAGAAAGAGAGCAAGAGAAAGGGAGGGAAACGGAGACTGAGTGCTCGAGAGGGAGAGATAGCGTGTGTGTGCGTGTGTGTGTACTAGAGTGAGTGAGCAAGGAAGGGAGAGAGAGAGTGGACTGTCAAAGTGACCTGAGAGGCAGATTTGAGGGAATAACAACCATGTGATATGGGTCCTTTTTTCCCCCTTTAAATATGTAGAGGCTGTTTTTCACTGCTGCTGCTACAATGACACACACACTTGCACACACAGAAGTGCACACATGAAGGTTTAAATGATCTCCAGGAAATCTGGCTGTATGTGTGTGTGTGTGTGTGTGTGCTGCAGCCGTGCCAGTGGCTTGTTACCATCCAGCAATGGTCTGCTACATGACAGGGGAGGGCAGGGGGGAGGAAAAAGGAGGAGGAGAGAGGAGGGGGCGACTGACGTGCCGCGTCTCACTCTCCTTCTCTCGCTCATTCACTCTCTTGCTCCGTTAGTCTTTCTGTCTGCAGTAAGTCACACAGTGTTGCTCTCTCACTTCACTCATCTTCCTGTCTACTCGGCCATTTATCTCTCCTGCCTTCCCCCTCCTCTCCCCCTACCCTCCCTTGCTGTCTCTGTCTTTCTTTATTACTCTTTCTTCCATTCTACCTTTCCCTCCCACTGTCTCCATCTCGCTCTGATCTTTCTTCTATCACTATGTCATTTGTCTGTCCCTGAAAGATGCACAAGTTTGCATGTGAGAGAGAGAGAAAGCGAGTTAGACCCAGGTTATATAGAAGAGGACACCTTAAGGTTAAGATGTTCTGTTTGTTTTGTATTTTTCTTATTGCCAACAATTTCCACAAAAACCAATAATGAATTGATCCTGCTAACAAGTATTTTGTGCATCCAGTTGTTTCTCGGACCTGCAGAGCTCTTTTGCTGTTTAAAATGCATCAGTGATCCACACTGTTGCACTGAGTGGCTTCATTACTTTGACCGTGGGCATTGTCATTCACTGTCTTGCTGCCATAAATATTCACTATAGCACCAAATGTCAATTCATCAACAGCTGAAAATAGTCCCCAACAAAGGCACAGTTTACTTCTGTTTGAGGAACATCTGCCAAGTGCCCATGTTTTGGGTAATTTAGAAAAAGAAGCTTTATTTTATTGTCATACGTACAACAAATTTTTGTTTGTAGCTGAGGACCCTGGGCCGCTCCGTGCAGCCATCACGGGCAACTTGGGGGGGTTCAGTGTCTTGCCCAAGGACACTTTGACATGTGGACTGCAGGCACCGAGATTCAAACCTTCAATCTTCCGGCTGGGAGATGACTGCTCTACCCACCGCACTACTGTCGCCCCAGTGGTGATGATCTTTTTAAAAAAATAAAGGATAAATTAGAGACCCATTTCTGAAGTTGGGTGCCACTGGACTTTGGGGCTAAGTACAGCACAAGTTGAAAAGTATTGAGAGACAAAAAGAACAAATTATAAATTTTTGTCTTTTCATGGTATTTGGTGACAATGAGAACAATATAGAATACAGAGTTTTATGCTTTAAACTAGTAGTTTGCCAACCTGTGGCTCAGCACCCCCAGATGGATTTAAAGATAAACCTCAGAAGCCAGATAGCTGAAGGAATAGTTTGCCATTTTTTAGGAATAGCCTGTGATTATTCACTTTCTTTCTGTGAGTCTGATAAGAAAACTGATACTACCATTATGTCTGCATATGAAGCTACCAGAAGCACCCATTTATCTGAGCTCAAGATGCCCTAGGATGTTTTTGAACATGGCCAATAAATGTTGTGGCACTGAGCTATTTATTTTATGCAGATGAAAAACATACAATATATAATTTGCTAATTAGTGAGTTTTAGAGATGCTGGCAGGTGCATTTTGTTACTAGCTGGTTCCCCCGCTAAGTTAAGCTAACCGTCTGCTAGTGCTAGCTTTATCTGTAGCCTACACACATAACTGTTATCAACCTTGTCTTCTAATTCTCAGCAAGAAATTTGTGTATTTCCTACAATGTCAAAGTATTCTGTTACACAACATTAGGTTTAGTTTTCTGATCTTGTGATAGGTTAACCCCTTCAGCTATAAAATATAACAACTTAAACAAGAATGGTCAATCACTCATTTGTTAATGTTTATTTAGAATTGTCATATTTATAATACTTTTTAATAGGACACAAGTCAAGAAAGGGGAACCACAGCTTTAAATAACCATTATAAAGGGTCATGACCTCAGCTGAGCCCAGAGCTTCCACCAAAATATTCACACACTAACACCATAGGAGACTAAATACATATATGTGATAGTATACACATAAGGACCTGCCTGATACAGAAATATATATATGAATATATATAAGCAGCCTGCACCATTTCTGTCAAAAATGTCATTGCAAAGTTTTGTTAAATCAGCTTGTGTCTTTACATGCAAAGAGCAACACAAGTCTGCATAGATCGCCTCCCCCACATATCTCCGCTATCCTTTTTTTAAGACACTTGCTCTTTGTCTCCTTTCCTCTCTTCCTCACCCTCTGTCTCATTAGGCTGTATCTCATTTTGAGGAGGAGAGTGTTAAGCCAATCAGAGATGGGAAGAAAGAGCGGAGGAAGGAGGGTGATGACTAGAGGAGAGAGATGGAGAGGTTGCAGGAGGAAGAGGGCAGAGATGGAGGGAGTGAGAGAGATGAAGAGAGAGACAGAAGGAAAGAGAGGGCGATGGATGGAGGAAGGAAGAGAGGGATAGAGGGAGGGAGAAACGGGGAATAAATAGCTCTGGCGCACTCATCCCCCATTACCCCGGGGAGGGCACTGTCGCCATGGCAATGTGGCAGAAAAAGGACAGCAAAAACATGATGAGCTTCTACACACACACACACATTTTACAAATGAAAACTGTGATTCACACGTATATCTGCCCACACTAACAGTTTCCTAGGGACAGTTTTGACAAGTTCGTACTTTCAAACGATATGTGCACAAAGCACACTGTCTTACACCTTAGCATAATTATTTACATACAAGCACACGCATGCACATTAACAGTTTGCCAGTTAACAGACAATTGAAGCCCACATAACACTGATAAATAGCAGACAAAGGAAGCCATGGAGGGAAGTATAAAAGACAGACAGTACAAAACAAGAAGATGAAGA